TCACACAGCCGCGAAGATTACCATCCTTATATAGTCTTGATTTTATAGTGCTCAAACTCAATCTTTTCCCAGTGAGTTGATTAAAATTGGCACGCAAATCACGGGCGGTGTGAAACCGATTCGCTAAACTAGACCTGATGAGTAGCCGGTCTTCGCATTGCGTTGTACGCCTTGGTCGACCTGATCGATGACGATTGCCCATACTACCTCGCAGACGAAGTTTTCGCAGGTTGAAACGTATGGAGCCTTCAGAAATTCCCTGTCTTCTTGCAATTTCCCTATTAGACACTCCTTCTGTATACAGTGCTTCAATGTTCCCTTTAGTAAATTCTGACAATTCCCTAACTTTCGGTATGGCTCAATGTTTGTAAATAAAAATTACGTATCTGACACTATGACCTCGATAGGAATATTCATGAACTACAACTGACAGGTATTCCCGCCCAGAAGCGCGTGTTGAAATAATTTCAGCTTCCCAATTGGTTCAAATTTGCATGAGAAAGGACACGACTATCGCACATGTTTTATGGCGCGAAGTTTTAATGAGATGCAAATGATATGCAAATGAGCGCGCTCCCATAGAGTTAACCATGGCGATTTTCGCTCACTGAAAAAAACGTCTACACACAAAAAAAACTAAACACAAATCAACCATTTTATTTTGACTAAAATGCACTAGTTCTTCTTAAATTTAGTATATTTTAAAGTCAACACATCATGTTACCCGGAATTGTTATTTTTTGTTACGAAAACGATCAAATGACAGGTGCGTAAATACTTTCTGGCGGGTCTGTATGTCATTCTATCCCTGGATACATTTACCTGATTCTGCTGTAAATTCACCCATCCAAAAAATCGCCCTGAGCGATTTCATGGCAGGTGGGCCCTTATTTGGTGTTCAAAATTTAAAAAAATGATCATCAAATATTTCTTTAGGACTTCTATTTTCATTAAAAAATCAAACTTTCGACGCCGGCAGTTTGACCACCCAAGATGAAAGAAACTATTGCAGAAGCTAATCTAAAACTTGATACATTTTTTTTCTTGCTGAATTAAAAAGTAGACTGCCTAAAATTTCATTACAATGTCACCCAGTGTTATCTTTCTCCCAACAAATCACATAAACGAACTGGTACGCCAGATACGATTATTTTTTTTACAAATTTTATTAGTTAACGTAAGAGTAAATTCTAAAAGAAGTTTCAATAAAAATGAACACAACTGCATTACTTAGTAGCAACTAGTCGCGGTAGCGCAATCCGGTCATGCTGCGTTTCACAATTGTTGATTACGTGGTAGTGATTATAATAACGTGCAAAAAATAAATTCGTTGAATTGTTATGAAATTCAAATAAATTTCAACTTTCATCATAAGCGAATGATTCCGGTCACATATTAAATGCTCAATGCTGGAGAATATCCGCCATGTTTTGACCTGGGACGGTGCTCTTTGATGGATGATACCAACGTGTTCAAATTATCATAGCTCATTTAAATATGTTAATGTTATTGAACACAACACATAAGGACTTGCCGATGCGATAATACAATATTTTGGATTTTGATAGGAAAACATGATTTTTTTTAATCAAAAATTAGTTGTTTTCAAAAGATAAACTGAGCATTTGATGATAATTTAACATTGTTTAACAGTGATAATAGCTCATTATCGAAACGAGGCTACCCATTTACGCTAGCCAAAAATAAACATCATACTCTTGAAATTGAATAGACGTCAATGACTATGGTAAAATTTAAATTAGACTCTATTTTAGGCGTCACGAATGATTGTAATGTCTGAAGAATGACAACAAAATATTGAAAAAAACACCTTAAAAATCTGCTGAAAAAAATGCCCTTGGTGATTTCTTGATCCCATTTTATTTTTTTAACAACCCAAACTGCCTTTTAGCGGCCCAGGGCGACTTTACTTCAGAATCTGGTACATGCCAGTTCTATTCAGTTGTGTCACATTTCTTTATTGGGTATGATCTAACAATGAAATCACATGTTCATTTCACAGAGTACCAGTAGCATACAAGTCCATCTCTATCAATAATTTTATTTCTGTGCAAGAAGTGATTGAAATGGCACTTCATAAATTTGGTTTGCAGGTAAGAAATAATGGACAATTTGTGGAACACACTCGTCTTAAATAACAATTGTTTAACCACAGTGAGTGAGTGGGAAACCTTTGAAATATGCGAGAACCAAGGTGAAATAACTGGATGCTAATTCATTATTTCAAATAATTGTTTGAGAAATAAATCAAAACAAAAAAATCTTTCTGTTATATATATCCCTAAAGGTTTTCTTTTTGGTAAAAAAGATTTTACAGGTGAGTTGTCAGAATGTGCGTAATAATTATAAAAAAATATTAATATATAATATATTTTGTGCCATGAGAGTTTATTTCTGTACAACTTGGAACATCAGTACAGTGCCATGTTTGAGACGACATATCAGCTCCTCTGATCTGAACACCATTATGGTTATTCAGTATTTTGTTCCTGGACCTACAATGCCCATTTAAGCCCAAGCACCTGTGGATTTTGACCAAGGACAAAGTCATGTTGTTAATGAATATCCGATTCAATATTTGGCAGCTTTTAGTTTTGCCTATGGGTTGATTTGTTTCTGAAGTTGTATTTTGGTTACTGATACGGTTTACGTTTCATAGGATGATGAACCAGAGGACTATAATCTTCTTGAAGTAATCTTAGATAAAGGTGTACAAGAAAGAATTATGGACAGAGAGGAGTGCCCTTGGCCACAACTAGTGGAAGCCAGAAGGGTAAGGGTATTACTTGGTAACAATACTGTAAAAGGATTAATTATTCACTGGGTTTTAATTTTGCTTATTTCGCTGACTGGAAAATGCGCTAAATTAAAACCCAGTGAATATGTAAAATTTAGCATAGAACGCATTATCCAAATGATAAAATCGTGAAATTTAAAACCCACTGAATATGCCTGAAATGATAAATCAGCGAAATTTAAACCCAGTGAAAATTAATCATTTTACAGTACATAGACAACTTTATTTCGGCAAATGTGTCAGAAAATCACAGCGTGTTAATATTTCATTGCCATTTTAGTTGTAGATAAAAATGTAGGTAAAAAAAGTTACAGCTGTGACTCAAATTCAGAGGTCACCAAGTACTGTAGTTTTTATTGAAACCAGCAAACAAAAACTCTTGTCTGATGTTTTACATTTTATCCAGCTGAAAAAAGAAAACTTCATCAATAAGTCAATTCTGTGAAAAAATAAGGAGCTACAGTATAATAATTTTTGAGCTAGAGCTAATAGTATGAGGTTTTTACGAGGATACCTCAAAGTATGCATGAAGCTGGAGCTGGAGTGTCTACCAACGTGCAGCAGAGGTCGATGTGCGATGTACTGTCTGAGTGCATACTTTCAGGTATCCTCGTAATAACCTTATTATTATACATCTTTTCCTTCCAAGGATACATCATGGGAATGCCGAAATCCAAAATGTTTAGAACAGAATCAGGGAACTTCTTTGTGTTGAATCCGGTCAAACTCTGGCGGCAGCCATGTTTGTTTTTATTATTAGAGGACGCTTACGGGCGTAATTATTCCATATTTATATGGTAGGATGAAAATACCCCATAAAATGCTGCAAAATTATGGCATGCTGTAACTTATGGCGTTACGATGACAGATGTATAATAATGTTAAATAATTGAATATATTTTTTTTCTTTCAGAATTCTTTAAGAAAAATGAAACAGACAAGGTATTATCTCAGGCGGATCAAAGAACAACGTGACGAATGTTCACAAATGTACATCGGCAATTTACCAATCAATCTGTCCGATCACAGATACAAACAGATCATCCAAAAAAATTTAGGCGATGGTATGTATATTTCGTCATCGCTCAAAGCTGTTCTTATTTGTAGATTTGTGACAAATGCTACATTTTATCTTATACGGTTATTGTCTTTTTTTTATCGACAGTAAAATTTACCATAGGCACAATGTACCCCCAAAATGGTGAGTTAAATCATTTTGTTTTTATTTTCTGCAATGGGTGGAGATGGGGGTTGACCTCTGAAATGATCAATATAGTCACAGATTCTTTGGTGAATTTTCAAATTCTGTCAGGTTAAACCTTTTCTCCACCAGTTCCCTCTTTTCAAAATACTCACAAAATAGTCATTTATAGTCTGCAGTTTCCTTCGGAAATTGGTACAATTTTTTTTAGCAAAAACTCAAAATTGATTAAAATTTTGTCTGATGGCTCCAAAATTAAGGAATATAGAAAACAAAATTGCAGAATAATTTGGACTAGAAAGACTGGTGGTGAAAAGGTTAAACTCTTGAACACCATAATTTTATGCCATATTTTTTATATTCCTTAATATAATAGGCTACAGGTCTGAATCTAAATTTGTGAGAGGTGAAATTTTATAATTTTATTTTATTGAAATACACTGTTGAGTTTTCAGATGACTATTCTTCAAAAAGTAAGTTAAGATACTTACAAGAATATAGTTTTTAGATAAATTTTAATAAATAAATATTTTTTTCATTTTTCAGGAGCTGCAATATTACTTTTTGCAGAACTAGATGCTGCTACCAAAGCTTACTATCTTTTGAAGGAATCAACCTGTGATGATAAAAGCTTGGCAGTTCATTTCATTCCAGAAATTCATGTAAGTTTTAAAATTAGATTACCAGATGGTTTTGCCTTCTTTTACAGTGGACACCAACAAAATTCATACAGTATTGCACAACATTGTTGTCACTATACGAATGAAGTTGTTAATTATTCGAATGAATCTTATTTGATATTGCTTCAATCGCAGGAAGAAGTTGATGGGGTTATTAGAACATTGATAAGGACTTCCCAAGGGAAGTTGCAAGTTACCCATACAAATCTTGTTTGCACCCACTGTAAACCAACCACAATGAATACCATAGCTTCTAGTGGAATTTCACTTGTTTTTCCAGGAGTAGTTGAATTATTTTAGGGTCTTCATAGTCAGTACCAAGTAAGAGAAATGTGTAGTACTGCTGCTTTTTCTGTGCCCCCTTTATGAAAGTTAGGCAAAAAAAATAATTAAAAACCTCCGCGTTTTTGTTGTTGTTTTTTTTAACAATAGGCTCAAATATTAAAAACTTACCATTTTAAGCAGTAAAAAAGTGTTTCCTCTAACGATCCCGGACCGTTGTTTGATCCCCAGGGTCCTTGGGGGGATAAGTGATGACTTTGAATCTCGCGTTGATCTGTATTTCTCTATAATAAAAAAATCCGACCGACCTAATTTTTCAATTTTCTGACTTGAGGGCAACATAAGTTTTTTTTTTGCCTTATGCCAAGAAATACAGACAAATTGAGCATAATTTGACTCGAACTGAGGGTCTATTTGTCACAAGTAATTTAATTGAACACCAACTTGCCAGCTAGGGTGAACCTTTATTGACTCCCATGTGCAAAG